CCATTGCAATTTTTCGCGCGCATAAACAATTGACGTCATTATAAACTGGGAAATCCCCTTTTTGTCCATGACATCGCGGCAAGCCTACCCTACCTTAATAAATGATACAGAGTTAAATGTTGTTCAATACAAGTATTTCCATGTATCTATCTCTAATTAAAATATTTAATTTCCACAAAATTGATATTTATAATGGTTATTCATATAGCGTTTGTAGTCTGTCATTTTTGCTCTCGCGGAAGAATGTAGAATTTTGGAAACGTGAATGGTGATATTCATGCGCCATTCAGACACTTGTACCGTGGGATTTTTTTTTACCTCGTGGCAGAAATAATTGGGTGGGAGAAAAATAATCAACCCCTACCCTCAGAGGATGTGACAGAGAAATCTCCAACCCTCGGGGTGATTTTTTTGTAGTCTAACCCTCGGCAGAGCCTCGGGTTAGACAACAACAAAAATCACCCCTCGGGTTGGAGATTTCTGTATCACACCCTCAGGGTAGGGGAAGATTCTATTAGTACCTTTCTGTACATAAACAAAAACATTCTATACTGAAACGAATAAGAAACGCAACTTCAAATTCTAGGTTTAATAAAATAATACTTGTGAGCATTATGTCTAAATTTCATATGTAATAGTTAATATTGAATATTGATGTAACATCCTCTAAATGTTTGGAGATTTTAAAGAAAAGGTCACTTCGCTAGAAGGTCGTGATTGGTAGTACCCTACGTGAATCCAAGATGAAATGGCAGCAGTTTTGAAACCGTGCCCTAATATCATGTTTGTCCTCCTCGTACAACTATAGCAGCTCTAATTCTTCGTTGCATCGAGTTCATCAGGGCATTGACTGTACGTATTGGAATGTTATTCCATTCTTGGACGAGTGCATTTGCTAATTGGGGGAGGGTATTTGGGGGGTTACGGCGATTGCGAATTCTTCTGTCTAGTTCATCCCACAAATGCTCGATTGGGGACAAATCGGGGCTATATGGAGGCCAATCTATAGGAACAATGTTCTGTGTCGCAAGAAAGTTTCTACAGACTCTTGCAACGTGTGGTCTCGTGTTATCTTGCTGCAAGGTTAGATGATGCTGCCTAACAAACGGCACAACATGGGGCCTAAGGATCTCATTCCGATAGCGTACGGCCGTTAAATTCCCATTGACTATCACCAAAGGTGTCTTCAAACCATGGGAGATTCCCGTCCAAACCATAACTGATCCACCCCCAAATCGGTCATGCTCCAAAACATAGGCGTCAGCAAAACGTTCGCCTCGACTCTGGTACACACATTGACGGCCATCTGCTCGAAATAACGTGAATCGAGATTCATCGGTGAAGAGCATGGACCTCCAACGTCTCATAGGAAAACGTCTGGACATATGTGCCGTCAACCATTGCATACGACGTGCTCGACGTTGCGGTGTTAGTGGTAAACCAACGTACTGTCGCCTTGCACGCAAATTAGCCTCACGCAGTCTGTTGATCACTGTTTGGGGATGAATCCGATGGTTATGATTACCAATCGTATTCCTTGCCGTTTCAGCAGCTGTTAACCTCCTGTTACGCAAGTGTGCCAGCCTAACAACCCGGTATTGACGTCGCGACGTTACGCGTGGACGTCTTGATCTCGGCCGGTCTTCGACTCTTCCTCTGGCGTTAAGACGTGAAACTAATCGACTAATAGTCGATTTGTGAACTCTGAAGTGTCGAGCGACGTGAAGTTGCGTGCTCCCTGCCATAAGCATCGCGATAGCACGTCCTCTATCAACCTGTGATAACCGTGGCATTCATTCATTCATTCTTTAATTCCTCTTTAAGAGATACAAAAAATGCGAAAATGCAAAAAAGATAATTACACAATTAAAGACATAAACTTGGCTCAGTCTCTTGTAATTTTGATAGCGGCATAATTGTAAAAGGAATTATTGTTTGCAAAAGTATTGGCGATGATGTGTCTCGATGTTAGGCACGGTTTTTGATGTTTTTACCGCGCCGGATGTGCATAGGCTTCTCGTCACACCAGGTTGATTTTGAACATTGGTTAGGGTGATAGGCAAGGTGCACTTTTATTTCCGCGATTTTTATACAGCTATGTATATTTAATACAAAATCAATAACAATTTTCCAAGTTGCGTTTTTTTTTTCGTTTCAGTATAATACAGATCAAAGTTGTGATCTGTAAGGTAACATAAAATCTTAACTGAACACAAATTATAGGTATGACATGTAACTTTAACTCTCTCACAAACCATCTTTCTGTAAGGTAGCATACAACCTTAAGTGAACACAAATTATAGGTACGATGTGTCACCTTAACCCTTTCACAATCCATCTTTTTGTAAGGCAACATACAATCTTAAGTGAACACAAATTATAGGTACGATGTATCACCTTTACCCTCTCACTATCCATCTTTTTGTAAGGTAACGTACAGCCTTAAGTAAACAAATCATAGGTACGATGTGTCACCTTAACCCTCAAGGGCATACAACCTTAAAATCTTGTGATGCACTTCTCATTTTTATCGAAGTATGTAACCTTAACTTTGGCACAACTGGCATCTGTGGGAGGTAGCATATTAACTTTACTCTGACACAACTTTCTTTTTTGTAAGGTAGCATATTACCGTAACTTTTGTGCAAGGTGGCATATTAACTTAACACTGGCTCATTGTAGACTCTTGTCTTTTATCAACCTTACTCTGGCACATTTGTGTAAGGTGCAGCATAAGTCCTTAACTCATTACACTGTGATAAATAAAACAAAACACAACCAGATATATGTATATATAATGGTATTTATTTTATTTTCCTTGTACTCCTGAAGTGATCAATGAACCAGTAAAATTACATTTTCTTCAAGCAAACAGTCTTTCAATATTCAGTAATTTTTTAATCAACATATTATGTCTGTAATTAAAACATTTAAAACTATTTAAAATTATTGGTCACAAATCTGTATGCAGATGTACATATATTTTCAAAATTGATCCAAATTTCTGATTTTAGATAAATAATAAACATGAAAATAAAACTACACAATCACAAACAAAAAACTGGAATAAGAAATGAAATTTTATCAATTTTTTCCAAAATTTTGTTTCCTGATAAAGAAGAATGATAAAAAGAAACCACACAAATACAAACAAACATCTTGAAAGGCAATACTGAACTTCTTTTAAAATAAGAAAATTACAGATAAACATTTTTAAAACAAAAGAAGCTGAGATTCGAATGTTGAACGAAATTGTTGTCAACTTGTTCCAAAACATGAAGTGTAAATGAGTATTGTAGTATTTAATTAAGTCTTGTGATTGTACATTCCGATTGTCAAAAATCAAAAATTTTCACTCCTGACATCAGGTGTACATATGTGTACCATGTTTTCAAAACTTCATCTTTGAATTGTTATCAGTACCACTAAGTTTTTCTTTTACATTGTCAAGCAAGAAAATCTACAAATAAGACAATCTAGTGGACAGCAGAATGTTTGGTGATTTGTGCTATCATCTTAAGTGAATGACAATAATATGACCCCAGCAATCATGATGTCACAATCTACTTAACAGACAAGAACAAGATTCAGATCACTCTACAGTAAACATGCATACGAACCTTTCTCTTTTACTAGAGTGCACTGTAGTCCTTTGCAAGTGGACAGCAATCAAGGGATTGCACAACTATATTGGGAAAAATGATTAGATTTTGATAAGATGGTTCTTGTTATATCTGACCAAAGAACTAGACAGAGATCTGACCCCTCCATCCATCCTACTATTTCTGAATAATTTTGGTATACAGCTTAATTGATAAACAGCCAAACTCTTCAAAATGGAAAACACAAAGGCAATGACAAAGTTATTCTTTTACACTACAGGACTAGAAAGTTTAAATGTATAATAAGCAAGCTAGCAGGTGTATTGTATTGGTTATAAGAATACAAGTCAATATATCAAAAAGGTGGTTTGAAAATATAACAAAGGGAGGCAACCTGAGGTGGTAACCATGTTAAGACTGGCATGATATGTTAACAAGACTAAAAATACAAGGTAGATAAGTACTAGAATGCAAAGAAATAAAAACAAACAGGTGTATACAGGTATGTATTATAGTACACAGTATAAAAAAACTGTTAACACAATCAATACCATGAATTACTAAAATTCATAATGTATTTTTAAAAAATTCTAAAATAAACAAAGTCTACATGTAAAACAAGCAGAGCAGTAGAAACTATACGAACACACCGGTAGATCTGAAAACACCTTATATATTATATATGTCAGTCATCTATTCATTCAACTGTAAAATCTGATAATTTTAATTCTTATTAATTCTATAAACATTGGTAATTTTGTGAATGGGAAGGAGGCGGTTGTTGTTGACAGATTTTGAAATCTGAAATCTGTCCTTTCCAATTCATAGCTAAAAAAAAAATTAAATAGTTTTTACAACATTTTGATATTTCAATTATTTACTAATCAAATCATAATGAAATTAGTTTCCTAAATCAAAATGTTTTATTTGCTAATTGCTCTACAAAATAATAAACATTCATGTATGAACCGATCCACATTAATTGAAGAAATACAAAACGTCATACATGTACTTGCCATTTATCTATTATTTAATTATCATTTTTAAGGCTTTTTTAAACAAGATATACATGAATATGTACATATTGTATGTATTGATAAAAACAAGGCCAAAACATACTAGTTTCTTAAAAACTGTTACTTTACAAAAAAAATCATTTTAAGCAGTTCTGCATGCTATTTGGATTTTCTGTATTTATCAGAAATTTTCTTTATAAACCAGGTATTTAAACTTTGAAGTCTTAATACCTTGGAAATTGGAAATTGTTTACATATGAAACCTGCAATGAAAAAACAAATACAGCACTGCATTAGAGTTAGAATCAACAAAACAAGTACATTAAACTCATAACAACAAGATCTACATATATTTGTATGTAAAACATCGTTACATGTAAGTGACAGTAAAAAAAATGGTAAGACTTTAAAAATTTGGACAAAAAATAAACAAAAATAGATACTCATAGGCACTTGTTCATCATAGCACAGAAAAATCATCTGATGCGGACAGTAACATATCAAAATGAAAATTTACTATCGCCAATAACCGAAGTATATTTTTTCAATAATCTAATACATGAATATGTAATAATGAAAAACAGTTTTTTTCACTGGCAAATGCATAATTTCACTATTTAAAAACAATTAAAGGAATTTTGATCAAGACGTGAGATCATAATGCAACTGTGATATTCTGAATATTCCTCAACCTTCTTGATTCTAATTCTTCGACAATTTGGGTTAAAACTGCACAAAATCTACATAGGTATGTGTAACCTTGGGTATCATTGAGTCTCCAGCCTTCTGGCTTCATTATCTTGTCATCTTTCATATCACAGATACCCAAATGTAATTGAATCATGTTCTTTTTTGTTTTGCAATTATTAAGAAAATACTCACGTAGTGATGAAGCACATGAGATACTATAGCCTGCAGGTAAAAGTGATGAAATGTAGAGGATCACCCATGCTTCTTTCTTAATATCATCTATACTTATAAGTGTTGATCTGAATATCCAATACCTCAATAAAGTGTGCAAATATTCTGTCACTTATTTGGAAATAATATTCAACGGAAAGATGCTTTATATGAAGAATGTTAGAATTACTTTCATTGCAAAGCTTTAACTTAAAATGTCCGACTTCTGTCTAAATCTAGGTTATTCCCAAACCTAGTCATTTCAATGACCCGGCCACTATTTGTAAGTTTCTCTATTCTTCATTTTTGAAGGTTTCAATCTGGAAAAAAACTTTCTTTCACAAGTGGAAATATTTTTCTGATATCAGTAACAATGAAAAACAGTTATTTTATTTCATGAAAAAAATCCTGTTGTAACAATCACCAAAAAAAAAAACAAAAGGAGAAAAATGAAAGATGAACTTTAACTGGCAGTATCAACAAGCATAATCCAAGAAGAAGATTTTTCTGTGTAAACCTCATCACAATTTGCTTTATAATTAAAGAGTGTACACCCATCTCACCAGTGAGACGTATATAGTACAATAACCTGTATAATGTACAGTCCAATCAAAATTTCAAACATTACTCTTCATCATCATGAAACAAAAACATCTAACATAACAACTTCCATTTTTACATTATTTGAAAAATACGATACATTTCAACCTTATTCAGTCTGACCATTTTCCATCTCTGTGAAGTGACTTGTCGAAATATCATGCTGTTGTTGACTGTCTTTTATTGGTCCTGTAAAATCAGATTAAACCTGCTCAATCGTCTTTGTGATATTTTCAGAAAGTGAGGTAATTATAGTCAATATAAATATATTCCAAAAATAGATTTTCCTTTTTTTCCCTTTTTTTTCCCTTTTACATGGATAATATGAAAATTGGACAATTAAGTATTGTACAAATATGAACTATCTATGTAACAAACCAATGATTAACTGATTGAAACAGAATATGATTGAAGATTTCAATATATGTTTAATGATGAAGACTAGGACTGACAGATAGACAGAAAACCAATAGAATCCTCTTGTACTAGCAGTGAAAGATTTCTTAAATACACTATATCAAATCTGCTCCCTACATTTCCAGGATAGATAAAAAAAATCTTGAATTTTGAGATTTTGGCTTGAAGATAATTTTTAGACAGATTTTCATTCTCAGAATGGAAAAACATTTCTTTTATGGTAGTTGACAGTATGTACTATAACTGAATATTTAAGTAAGCATGCGACATCTCTCACACTGAAGTTCACCTACCAGGGAGAATACAAGTCTAAGTATAATGTGTGGTCAGTCAAAAGTGATCTCCTTCTTGTAAGCAGAGAGGGTGTTTTTCATCAACATAGCCACAGTGATGGGTCCAACACCGCCAGGTACAGGGGTGATGTAGCCTGCTTTCTCAGATACACCTGTAAAACAGACACCTAAATATAGACCTTTGTTCAAAAATCTAAACAGAAGGCATTTGCTCTGAAAGACATTTTCTTAAAAACTCTTTCCAATAACCAATCATATCAAAGAATATGTTTCAAAGCATGAGCCATGATGTAATTTATACAAGCGATGCATCAAGTTTCTTAATAAAATGTTGCATATCAACTAATTGTGTAAGAAGCTTACCATCGAAATCGACATCTCCAACAAGCTTCATCTTGCCGGTAGCCTCGTCCTTGACCCTGTTAATACCAATATCAATGACGGCCACTCCTTCCTTCACCATGTCAGCTGTGATCAGGCCTGGGATTCCGACCGCAACCACCAAAATGTCTGCTGTCTTAGTGAACACTCTGAGCTGTTCTGGAGGTGTGTAACGGTGGCAGATGGTAGTTGTAGCATCACCTGGAAGTTACAGTTACAGTGACTGTTGTGTGGCCATGTACATGGATACATGTGTTCACATCAGAAACATTTCAGAACCAGTCAGTATTTTGTTAATTCTTTAAACAGCACTGAGAATGTCTTCTCAGTTGACAATCAAATGACTTATATCAGTTGTTCAGTTCTACAGAGAGGATCTGTTTAAGAAAAGCAACACTTAATTACAATATTGAGTTATGCTCTGAAATTAACTGCAGAGCATACATATATTTATGTAGGACTTTTGACTTAAATCAATATGCATTACTTCTTGACAATTTAAGGAACAGTCTCCTGTCTAAAGTGGCACAACTGAAAAAAATTTGTGTTGTTCAGCCTTCACATACTAAGTATGTGATATGCCTAATTTCATTGACTTACCTGCCTTGGTTTCATATATACCATCAGCATGTAGCAACATAGCTAAAGGCATTCCAACATTCTTGGAGCGGCCACACACCACTGCATTTTTACCAAACGTCTCTATACCTGGTATAAAAACAAAATCAGGTGACACTAAAATTTAACATCCACACTGACAAGTCATACAGTCTGTTATAGTACGTAAAAGACCTGATTACCTTATTAGGGACAGTACGTCTTTCCCTAATTCTGAATGTAACTTGAAAAATCATAGGTTGGTTATTTCCTAAGACATTGTTAAATGTAACTTATAGGCTTTGTGAGCTTTGTGCTCTAACTTACATTCTTAGTATCTAGTTTGTACTTTCAACTTGTGTTATTATTAAGATTCTATCTACATTTAAACTTAAAGTAAAGTATCATGCATCTGAAGTTATCATAAAAAAAGACACATTCTAAGTAATAGACTTTATCCTAGCCTCGTTTAACGAATGAAGACAGGTGTATGAATATTCCTACTAGGTGATACAAATCTTACTAACCTGACCTGCGGAGAATCTCCATGACCCCAGCAGGTGTTGCAGGCACAAATGACTTCTGGTCTGAACAGAATTTACCAATGTTGATAACATTGAATCCGTCAACGTCCTTACTGGGATGGACAGCGTTACAAACCTTCCGCTCCGTAATGTGTTCAGGGACAGGCAGCTGGACCAACAGTCCATCCACCTCGTCACTGTCATTCTTTTCTTGAATCAGGGACAGGAGGTGTTCCTCTGTCGTCTCCACCGGTAGATTTATCTTCTCACTAGTGATCCCTACAAAACATCTGACCAATTACTAACTTTTTTGCTGATTTTTTTTGTTTCTAGCTTTTCTTTAATCCTTATTTTGATAAATAAATTTGAGAACCTTCAGATTTAAAATTCCAATGTGTTTATTCTTCAAGATATTGCGCAGGAAAGATTATCAATAAACATAATGAAATATTTGTTGTTTTTTGTCGTTTTATTTTCCAATGTGTTTATTCTTCAAGATATTGCGCAGGAAAGATTATCAATAAACATAATGAAATATTTGTTGTTTTTTGTCGTTTTATTTTTTGACGAATACATAAACTTAATTGATTTCCCTATACCATTCCACTTATTATCACAGCTGATTTTTAGTGACTTCCTTAATTTCAAATAACTTTAAAATTATACATTTTCCTGGGGGTCAAAGTTCAGTTTTTTTTTTTGTTTACATCACATAAAGATCTCCATTTCATAAAAGTTGCATACAATGCATTAAGATACCAGCAACTTAATGTTATTTTATTCAACATACACAGAACCTTCGTTACAGTAAATGTTGATGATACAATTTTAAAATTCTTTTTGTCTACCAAAGCTTTCAACTTCTCAGACATCTTTGTGATGTGTTCTGACTATCTATCACAATTGCCAAGGGCTAATTTACCTGTGTATTTGCATGCCTTAATTTTATTGGATACATAGGCCTTGCTAGCAGGGTCCTCTCCAACCTGTATCACACAGAGATTTGGGGGGCGTCGTCCTTCAGCTACAAAACCTTCAATTTCTGCCTTAACTTCATCTTTCATATCTTTTGCAATTGCAACGCCATCCAGAATTTTGGCTGCCGTTAGTCTGAAACAGTATAATATATGCATATTTCAGAAATGTTCTGAACAGATTCCGATGGAATTTAGTACAATCTGAAACTACTGTCACCAAGTTAAATCCTAGTCTAGCATTTCTGGAAGGCAGACTGAATTAACAGTAATATGTGAGTGATTACAGAAATTTTAATATCTTATATGTATTTGAGTATATTGCTTCTATTCCTACGAACCCGAGAGATGAAAAAGTTGGTATTCAATCATGATGATGATCAAAGACTGATCAAATCAGTAGGCTCTAGCAATGACCATAATGTAACAGAAGAAGAAGAAAAGTAGAAGAAAAAGAAGAAGAAGAAGAAGAATAAAAGAAGAAGAAGAAGAAGAAGAAGAAGAAGAAGAAGAAGAAGAAGAAGAAGAAGAAGAAGAAGAAGAAGAAGAAAGAAGAAGAAGAAGAAAGAAGAAGAAAGAAAAAAAGAATAAAGAAGAAAACTAAAGGTGAAGAAGAAGAAGAAGAAATGAAGAAGAAGAAGAAGAAGAAGAAGAAGAAGAAGAAGAAGAAGAAGAAGAAGAAGAAGAAGAAGAGAAAAAAAAGAAAAAGAATAAAGAAGAAAACTAAAGGAGAAGAAGAAGAAAGAAACGAAGAAGAAAGAAAAAAAGAAGAAAAAGAACAAGAACAAGAAGAAGAAGAAGAACAAGAACAAGAAGAATGAAGAAGAAGAAAAAAAGAAGAAAAAGAATAAAGAAGAAAACTAAAGGAGAAGAAGAAGAAAGAAACGAAGAAGAAGAAGAAGAAGAAGAAGAAGAAGAAGAAGAAGAAGAAGAAGAAGAAGAAGAAGAAGAAGAAGAAAACTAAAGGAGAAGAAGAAGAAAGAAAACTAAAGAAAGAAGAAGAAGAAGAAGAAGAAGAAGAAGAAGAAGAAGAAGAAGAAGAAGAAGAAGAAGAAGAAGAAGAAGAAGAAAGTGAAAAAGAAGAAAAAGAATAAAGAAGAAAACTAAGAAGAAGAAGAAGAAGAAGAAGAAGAAGAAGAAGAAGAAGAAGAAGAAGAAGAAGAAGAAGAAGAAGAAGAAGAAGAAGAAGAAGAAGAAGAAGAAGAAGAAGAAAGAAAAAAAGAAGAAAAAGAATAAAGAAGAAAACTAAAGGAGAAGAAGAAGAAAGAAACGAAGAAGAAGAAAACTAATTAAAAGAAACAAAAGAAATATATATTGACATGTATGTATATCTATTTTCAAAACTATATTGATACCATAGATTTAAGGCTAGCTATGTCCAAGATTATGGTTATTTGGAAGCACCAAAAAAAAGAATGTGTTTTGTAAGGATATTACTTATGTATATTAGAGAGGCATTCATCTGTGACAAAATCTAACCTTAACTGTCACCATAGAAAGTATTGTATTGATAAAGGTCGGTTAGCTTTCTGAACCACTTACCTGTATTTTGGAAATTATTTTATTTTAATATTTCAAAGCATACTGATCACTATTTCCATAGTTTTAACAACTAAATATGTATACCATGAATACTTCATTAATTCGGAATTGCACACAAACAATAATCACATTTATTAATTTGGCAAAAAAAGCAACCCAAATAACAAAGTTTTATCGTTTCTGATCAGACTTCATGCACTTGAGTCTTGGCCACTGGTTGTTAATAGCTTTACTCGGAACGATATCAACATAATAGGGCGGACAGCTTTCAATTGAATTCATTTTTAATAGACACGTGTACGGTGTTCTATGTTTTATATGTGTATCTCACCGGCTGATAAGTCCAAAGGGAAGTAACTCGTGTTATTTTAGGACTGCAAAAAATATTCCATTACAACAGTGGAAATTTTTTGAATTGTAATTCACTGAGCACAAACTTTATAACATGTCAGCCAAATCAGATACATACATGTTTTAAATTTACACATAAATACGTATGAATCTGAGAGGAGGAACACCCACACATGAATGTTGAAATATATTGAAGCAAAAGCACGATCGCCGGAGGTGAAATCGCTTGAGAGCCTGTGCACATGTGTACAATTTAAGATGTGTGTTATCTCTGATGAACTAATTAATTTTCTTGAATTATGTAAATTATACCCACCTGCTTGTTGTGCAAATTGCTTTACTAGTCGAAGCATCCAGCGATTTGCGGCTGAGCCTGCAAAACGTCTGTAAAATCTTCCTTGACATCTTGTGGTTTTCTTCAGGGCAACCCTATTTTTAGATCTGGAAACGTGCTGCAAGCGACAGTGTCACTTTGACGCTTGTTGTGAAAATTGACCATTCAAAGCAAACGCTGCAATGATTGTTGGGTTTTTGATAACTCTTACAAACATGGCGACTTCCGTATCAAAACAAGAAGACTCTCCATCCTCCCCTAAGGACGCTGACAGCGATGCACCAAAACCGATAGCAAATAAAAACTGGCCAGAGCCAGTCGTTGCCTCTAGCATGTCAAGCATATTTAGTATGCTTACAGAGAAAAAACCAGAAAGGAAATTAAAGCGGCCACGTAAGTGTGTTTACAAAAAACCCTTAATGATGATCGTAAAAATATAAGCATGATTATTGTCCGTTTGGGTGGAAAATGCATACATACGACATAGATCTACACCGAACCACGATGGACCAGTTATTTGAAATAAAGTGCACCTATAATTTTTGGCCTACACAAAACACTGACGATACTATGTGACACTTTTATAAACTGATTATGACCACTTTCATTAATGTCCAACAAGGATGACATTGTCATTTTTCTTAATTTTTTCGACATTTTTCTCATTAAGTCAAGGTGACAAACCATTATAATTAGAAAGAAGTTTTGTCGGTTTTGAAATAATAGAAAAGAAACAAACTTATAGATAATTGTTCTTAATAGTTTAATTAAAAATGATGAAATAACATGTTTGTCCAAATGTATGTACACTGGTTTGATAAAAATGTCCATTAATATGGATTTTAAAATAATGGCAGCATTTGCAGCCACTGCTTAAAAAAATGTATGTTTATATATATCTATAATGCAGGGGCCTTGAATTGTTCATACTGACATGCATCTCTTTGACAATTTAAGATAATAAATAATTTGATATTACAATGGTTATTTGTAAAGTCTTTCTTTGCATTTAAGAATTTTTTTGTCATTCATGTCAGATTCTTGTATATACATACGGAGCTATTCATCAATATTAATTGAACTTTGATAATAAAAAAGCATTATTGTTGCTCAGAGAAAATCTTGGAAATTGTATGCATGTTACGAAATGACTATTTGGTACCAGTTTTCCAATTACACTGTGTGTAAAAATCTGCAAATATCGTAACAGTTTTTATATGTTGTAAAATCTGTTTACATTATAGAAATCTTACATACTTAAGCCAAATTTTAAAAAAATTAAGAGAGTATGTGATGTGTCATTAATTATAGATTTTTATTTCTTTACTACTTCTGTAATTTCTATTCCATTCATATCTGAAGTTAATAAGACCATATTTTTAGGTGAAACTTATAGTTTACAGGGATCAAAATTATTGTTTTAATCTGAAAACAACTTCTACTTAAAGTATGCCATGTATATTACACATTGCTTGAAAAGTGCATAAAGTTCATATTTTTAGTTATTTGATTTGCTTGTAGTGCCCATCCCAAATTTATTGTGCAAGTTTTATGGCTCTTTATAGGTGTACATGCTTATTGCCCCTTGTATAACTGCATGACATAAAGATTCAGTGTACTAATGGCATTGCTGTTTATTTATCAATCTAACTACCTATTTTTTCATTCTTACATGGAGACTACACAATGTGTATAACCAATGTGATCATGACATTTCCATTTACCCCGCCTCCTCCCGCCCCCATCTCCGCCTCCTCCCGCCCCCATCTCCCCCTCCCCCCCCCTCCCCCCCAAAAAAATCTTTTCTTATTTTTCATTAGTGTGAATGAAAATGGATCATTTTGTTCCCCATTTATGAATTTATGACTGATGCCGACTTACAATAAGTCGACCTATTTAGCATGAAATAATGAGAACTAAGGTTTAAAAAGCATATTTTTTTGTGTACTACCAATTTACACTGAGCCTATGATTTACACTCACATCTTCTCCCTCCCCAATTAGTGTATTAACTTATTTCATTAATGCAGCATTTTAAGGTTCATTTTATTGATAAATTGCAGAAATGCATGCTAAAACAAAAATGTTGACTCATAATTTGCTAAAAATTTATTCAGATTACTAATGTTATTACCAAGTAGTGAAGAAAAATAGTTATCCCCTTCCCATTGTTAAACTGTTCAGCAAAAATTTGTAGAAATATTGCCTTTCTGATAAAACATGAAGCATTATTTTGTCCTTTTCCAGAAATTATAGGATGTATTTGATTAAATTTGAGTTACAGCAGATCATTCTTGAAAAGTACAAGTATATACATTAATAGACAACATAACAATTGAAGTTAAAGAAGAGAAATAAATATTATGTAAACAAAATATTTGCCCTAATCTCAGACTTGTGATAACCATGGTTTCCAATTCAAAAAATGCTAAAAGTGCTGAAAAATCACTAATTTAAACCAAAAACTACACCTCCATTTGAGGAATTCATTAGTAATAGTCTGTCAGAAAGTGAATGACACTGTCCCGGTAACAAATTACTCAACGTTTCAGCAAATGTCAACTCAAAATGGCTTCCTAACAAGAACATTTGTGGCCATGATGACACTACTGCCTGTAAAGCTAGCTTTTGTTGTGGAGACACAGATAAATGGTAATCCCAAACACCACGCAAATATATTATTCTGAAAAAATATGAAGCCCTACAATATCCACTTCAACACTGACCATACCAATTTTAGTGAGGATTTCATTCATAAATTTTGTTAAAAGCCTTTACAATGGGGTAATCCAATGAAGAGAAAAATCGTCCTTGGCCACACGGAGAAGATGTGTACTTTTTTATTTCCTGAAACATATAACAAGGAAAACCTTAAGTAAAAGCAAAATGAGCATGGGCTTGCATAGATATCGTCTCCACCTACTCATCTTTTTCTTTCAATGTAAATCTGCTGAAGGGTTCATGTGATATCTTGTACAATAGGCTCTAACCTGCTGTGTAATCCTATTGATTTTTATCAATGAAATACTCTGAAATGAAAAATATCTTGTACACAAGCTTTTCATATCAAAAGTGGTCAGTAGTGACCTTCAAGCTTTAACCTTGACCGCTGGCGACCAAAATATAATCAGGTGTAGATCTAGGTAGGGTAATGGTATTTTGTTAAGAGAAACTTACTCTGTCCATTGGTTCAAGAGATATCTTGTACGCAAAAGGTTTTCACGGACAGACACATGCAAGGACGGACAGACTACTATTACTACATTGGTGTAATGTGATTAAGTAATACCCCCACTCATACCCTCCACCCCCCAACCCTTACTGTGATTTTGTCATGACAGTGGGCAGTAGCAAATTAGAGTATGGGACAACGGTAACAAGGTGTGTGACCAGGAAGCCTAGTTGCAATTTGGTACAGCATCGGTCTAGATTTCAGAGGGTCCTTGGTTTGAACTTAATGGGTCTGGCATCTTTTTTTCTGCACCTCTTACACATATAAGATGCATTGTTTAATATACTGCTAACTTTTACTGGAAAGCTTCTGCTGTCCTTTTCATACAGTATAGAGATATATGGAACAAATCATTCTCAATGCTGTGGTGATTTTCATGGTAATCACAATGTCTCTGGGGTGCTGGGGTTCTGTACACCCGTACAGTGGTCATTTTTGTGTACCTGTTGCCTATTCTGTTCTCAGGTGTCTGGAACCATTGGAAAATTCATGGTTGAGATATGTTCATGGGCCAATTAATTACTACTACATAATTATTAGGCTTCAGAAACTCTACCTGGTAAGAGAGCTGACATCAGCTATGTCAAAGGATTAAAAATATCCATATTCTCTATTATCCTCTTCTGGATTATAAGCTGCTGCATTTCCCCCGATGGTCAGACGTGCCGCTTATATACTGATGCGGCTTACATGTAGATGTAAAAATAAAAGCTTATATCTTGACATCAGTTCTGGACCATTATGTATTTCCAAACGGCCATTTTGTAAAGGTGTATCACATGCACTATTGACCTGCATGACCTTGCACCCTTATAATTTTGGTTTATGTGACATGTCACACCTCGAGAAAAATGTTTAAAAATAGTGATTTAAACCAAGGATACCAGTAGTTAAGTTGTTATACAGCAATATAAATAATTTATATGTTTTATTATTTCTTTAATTTTATTATAACCTTGAACAAAGATAATCTTCAATTTTTTTCTGTTTTTGAATTGCTATCTTTAGAAAAGATTGAATATTATGATGGCAATCTTTTATCACTAGTAATGTGTAATGCCCAAAGGCTGGACCAAGTGAGCTTGATACCATCAATTGTATTATTGAAAGTATGGGAATCATTGTAATACAATCAGCGAATTTCAACAGTATCCAATGTTTTCATCATAATGATGTTGACTGTCAGGCATAGTGCTTTGACTGCCATCTCGTAATTGTTCATACAATCAGTCTTTTGATATAGTTAGAATAAATGATGGATACAGTGCCATTGTCTCAAATGTGTTACACGGCTCAACAGCTTTTCTGATAAGATCGAATGTTGAAGGAAATTTCCATCACCAGGTTCTCAAGTTATACACTTGCTGCAGACAATCTCCTTGCAGACATGCATGCAATAATTGATTTATGCTTTGAATACTGAACAAATGGTAAAAAATAACTCCAATTAGATGATCATTAATTCATTTCATTTTTGTTTGTTTGTGTGTGGTACTTAATTATCTTTCTGACTATTTCCCAGTTAAATGATAGCTCTTTTTGCAATGGAACATTAAATTGAGCATCATTACATTACCTGACAATTATTTTTCATTCCGACAGCCAATCATAATGACTGAATCATTTTGCAGGGTTCTTATTATTTTTTGTACCTGTAAACCTGTTTTGTTAAAACTAATTATATGCAAACTCTACTCAACATCAGGTTATTTAATTGGATTTAATGTTGAGGGTTTTGTTTTACTTCATCAATCATCAGGTGTTTGTTTTGATATTGCTGTTTTTGTTGAATTTATAGATACTAGTAAAAAGAAAGTCTGTGGTAAAGTTTCTTCAGCGCATGTTTGTTTTTTCACGGTGGGATAAATTGAAGAAGGTGATTCAGTCTGTCATTTTAATAAAGTGCCAGGGTTGAAAATTAATTCATTTAATTATTTATTAGCCCACCTGGCTTTGAAAGCCAAGTGAGCTTATGCCGTGGTACATCATCTGTCATCCACCTGTCAATCCAGCATCCATCTGGCTTCTGTCTGTCTGATGTCAACTTTTGTGCTGGAACAACTGCTCAATAACCAACAGGCCCAATGTCATGGTGTTTGCAAAAAGAAATGACCTTGACCCATATTCATGGTACTGGGGTCAAATTTGTTAAAATCTTTAAATTACTTTTATGGTTTACCAAAGGGACAAGAAAGAGCATTGTATTTGGCTGATAGGTTCCTATGATGAAACCGCACAAAGTTTGCAAAAAGAAATGACCTTGACCCATATTCAAGGTAACAGGGGTCGAAATTGTTAAAATTTGTAAAAGACTTCTTCTGGTAAACCAAAAGTCAAAGTAGCATATATTTTGTGGAAAGATGTTTCTAGTTCAAAGCGCGTCAAATTTCAAGGAAAAATAGAAATGCCATTTACCTAAAATGCAGATCATAACTGTCGCTGTTTAGAGTTAATTATTAGAAGCTGTTTATTTTGAAAATTGATTGCAATTTATTCGATGTGTCCACTATGAATGCCAATGGTTTATTTGATAATGTATTTGTGATAAACGCTAAATTCTGTTTGATGAACACAGAATACCAGGTGAGTGATGTAGGCCCATGGGGCCTCTTGTTTATGCTAATTGTTTTTTAGCAATTAATCAGTTATTTGCTACAATAAGATTATTAGCTTTATTTTTACCAGATGTACAAATTTCATATCAAACATTTTTTTCCACTTTGAAGCACTTAGGATGCATTTAGATAAGATTGAATAAATATGTGAAGTTGTTACAATTTATTCTATTATTATCTTATTTAATGAATTACAGTAATAGATAATATGGTGTTTAAATGTAATCCGCCCAGTTGTGTATGTATAGCTATAGGTTAATGGTATTTTAGATAGTTTTCTACAAAATATACCGGTATGTATTTTCATAAGTTGCCAGGTACTAGTTTTTTCTCCGTAAACTTTCGCTTTCCTCCACCACCAAAATCTTGCATGTCCTTAAATGACCACTGCCAGTCATAAGATGTAAAACAACAATTAAGTGGACTAAAATGAATCATTTTTGCAGTTACATTTATCATTTCTTTTTATTTACTTTTTGTTTAAATATGATAAAATTATTGAGTGTTTGAGATTTGTTGACATGTCATTAGAAACTGACTAGAATAAAAATTCTGCATTTGATTTTAATTACAGTTACTCTGGCCTTATAAAGCATAGCCTGCTGTATATTATATATTTCAATGTATATACATGTAACACAATGTGACTCTATGACTGATATGGTAAAAATCTCCTCTCACCTTGTCATGTTACATATAATGTAATATTCCAGCCATTATAAACCTACTAACAACATCAATATGATGAAGCTGATGTTTTTTCTAGCTTCTACGTCTGTTAGGAATGTTTCGGTGGCTGAGTGCTGACTGCAGCAGAGCTAAATCAGGCTCGCTAGAACTCTCTGGTTCTATGTTCAATGTGTACAGGCAAGCATTGCTGCTTCTAGCCAATATATTGATTTTTTTGCTTCTGGTAATATCCATCCAAGATGGCTGAAGAGACAATATATCTGTGCAATTTCCGAGTCTCTGTTGATGGAGACTGGCTTTGTTTACGGGAATTATCCGATGTTCAGTTAGAGGTGGATGATGACGATATGGTGTCACCTGTTATCACACCGGTGTCTCCAGACGATGGTGAGAATTCCAACACAGCTGCCAACATGTGGTTGTGCAGGGTAGATGCTGTGTGCAAGCATCCAGCCATGTTCTATCAAATATTATCATAATGTTTTCTTCTGTATACAATGTTTCTGGAAATTTCGTGAGAATATCGTCAATTTTCTTGAAAAATTGTCTTTGATTTTGTAAATCAAATTGCATGCTTTCCATTAATGATCGTTTCACTTCCTGTCAATGCATTTTCATTAAACATGTAAACACATTGTGATTGCTGTTTATTGAATTCAAAAGGTCAAGCAGATGATTATCCTGAGATTTAGTGCAATGTGTGGTACGAGGGTAATAGAGTGATGTGTATGATCAGTGCATGTATTTTCAAATTATGGACTTAATGACCTTTTTTATACGTATGATTGATTTGCGTATTGTGGTTGGCCGCAATGCCTAATTGAATGCTGTTGTTTGGCTCGAATGATAAACAAGCTGGTTACAGTGTTTATTTTCAGTTTGATAGGAAATCAATTTCTTAGCCACTGCTGGTGTTGCTTGAGATAATTGTCTTGCATTAACAGTCATGGATACTAAACCCTAATGTTGTATAATGCTTGTAACATGTAATGGTGTTGGAGACAGAGCGGTGACACAGCATTAAATATCAAAAACCAAAAATACCATCTGGTAGAAACATTAACACTATGTACATGATTTTAGAAATTTCACTGTACGACTGGAGGCAACAGATCTACAAAAATCGAGTTTTAACATATTCTTTATCATCCAAAGTATTTTGACTGAGAAATGTTTTGTACAAAGTTTTTTTTCCAGTAGGCTTTTATTAAAGCTATAAAAAATTCTCTATGAAATTGACGCCTTCTGAAAGGCCACTGGTCTGAGCTCGGGTTTGGATGTATATTTATGTACATATACCTTAGTCATCTTTCTAAACAAAATGTTGACTTTGTTTGTGCTTAATGGTAAACATATAGTTTATTTGTACCTTTCCTGATGTGAAATAATACCTGAACTTGTCATTTACAGATATCGATGATAGGTCGTAAAAGAATTTTCAGTGTGTACTGATAATCATAGCTCTCAACAACTGAATGTTTCTAACTTTTTTGGTCAGAATATACTGATATTGTACTGGATAGGGAAAAAAGGAAATGTAATATAGATATATAGTTAAAGAGGATGCAGCATACATTAGAAACTTAAAAACATGCAATTTAATTTTTTTTTCTTTTTCTTTTTTTTTTTTAATTTCACTGATGTCATGATGATGATGGTGATGATGATGGTGATGATGATGATGATGATGATGATGATGATGATGATGATGATGATGATGATGATGATGATGGTGATGATGATTGGTGATGATGATGATGATGATGATGATGATGTTGATGATGATGATGATGATGATGATGATGATGTTGATGATGATGATGATGATGATGATGATGATGATGATGATGATGATGATGATGATGATGATGATGATGATGATGATGATGTTGATGGTGATAGTGATGATGACGATGATGATTATGGAGATGCTGATTTTCCTATGTCATTATATACTAGTACCGTCAACTTAATCAAGTTGTTGAAATTATTTGCTGTGTATTACTGTACATTGCCTCTCTTATTAAGTTAGATAATTCCAAATCTAAAATTTCCTTCAGGTCGCGACCCCAAGACAATAGAGAGGGCTAATCTACTGAATATTTGTAAACTTGTCATCAAAGAACTGCTGGACTCTTCATTATCACACGGTCGCATGCTGGACGATGAACATGTCCCACTTCAGCAGTTCTTCGTTGTCTTGGAGCATGTACTGCGTCATGGAATCAAACGTAAGTCATTGATTTAACTCTGTAATTAATCTTATAATATCTTATAATTTATTAATGTGGTTCATGAAATCTGCAAGAGAATTAAAAACTATTACACCATTATTAAAACCAGTAAATCTAAATAACTGAACAATTCTGTTACTAATACAGTGAAAACTGCTTAATATCATGTGCCATTTCTTAGGAGAAAATGTGATAATAACCAGAACATGACATTAACCAAAGTGACATTAAGTGGTTTCTAATATACAATATACAAAAAAAATTACCTGATTCATATTTCTAATTAAGTCATGCCTGGTTATATTCCTATGCATATACAATCCGTAGAATAACAAATCAATACTTTACATTTCCTGTAATAAGCCCACCACCAGACCTTTTTATTAGTAAGAAGTAATGTTGGCAACCTGGATTTATTGTAAAGTCAATTTGATATTGATACAATGAGTGTGATCTAAATCCCTGAACAGAAACAATTCTAGAATTTCCTCTGATGGGTTGTTCAAATTCTGATGGGTATATATTTTGTCTTCCTGTGGTGAAGAAGAGGCAAACCTACAAAACTTTAGTATGATAATAATAAACGTAATTTATTTTACAACAATTGTGAAGCAAGTTTTTCCAGCTTATTTTAATCACTGTTGTTGCCCGGGTTGTAAGGTTTTGGGAGGAAAATCCATGTGGTTAGGCAGATGACCCTTACCTTTTCATGTCTATTCTGGGAATCGAACCCCGGAAGGCTAGATGAAAGGTGAGTGCGTTATCTCTGCACCACCTGACCACCCATACTTCAGTGTTTCAGTATATACTTTACCTCTGGTTTTTGTGTCCACATTGGCATTTAGTTCTGTTTATCAGAAAATGTATAAAACATATATATGTAGCATAGCTACACCAGCTGAGTTGTGATTTTTTTTTTTTTTTGTAGCAAGGAAAGGTTTACTACGGGACAAAAAGGACTTCTGGTGTGTTCTGGAGATGGTGGAGAAGCTTGTCCCAGAGGCATCAGAGATCAGCACCAGTGTGAGGGATATGCCTCATATAAAGTAAATCATGAGATAATTTGGTTATCTTTTACATCTCCTTGCAGGGCTCTCAATCTGCCAGATTTGGGGCCGATTCCCAATGCAAAATGTTATCTTTTTTTTCCCAATTTAGACCCCAAGTTTTCCCAATTCTAAGGAAAACGCTGCTATTTTTCCCAATTCGAAGGGCCCCAGTCCCAAAATGGGGTGTGAGAGCCCTGCCTTGCCATTTTCGTCATTGGGGTGGGGGTTGGGAAGGGGAGGGTGGGCGGCTGCATATCCTGTTACCTAGGTCTATCTCATTCCATAGTGTCAGTGATGTAGTTCTGGTAGACACTGTCCTATTCAGAATCAATGTGTCATATCTTAAAAATTTTCAACAGATGTGATTCTGATTTATGTATTTACCATGGTATCATGGACACCACCATACTACCCAGTAGGTGGTCATCAATTAAGGTTAAAGGTTAAAGGTCACATTTGACATCTTTGGCAAATTCATCAAACAATATGATACTTATATATGTTTGGAAGTCGGGGAATTTAGACATGTTGTAGTTGAGCAAAAGTTGTTTTCTAGTGTCATTTGGTGGATGGAGGTTATGTTGTAACCCATGTCCGTCCCATCCTGTCACATCATATAGCCATGCCATAAAGAATCAATGTCATATTGAGAAAATCTTCCAACAGAATTGGTTCATATTTTTTCTATTTACACCATAGTATCACGACATCAAGTTTTACACCCTATAATATTAGGGCAGTCATTTTGATGTTTTCTAGTTGAATCAATGCTGTATTCAAGTGTGAAAGTCATGTGATTTGGTACAAACTTTATCTTAATGGTAGAAGTTCTTTGGAGTATTCTAAGCAAGTCTTGCATTGTTCTAACGTGAAGTCAAATTGGACAGAAAACTTTATAATTTTTATCTAAATCTTAAGAAGAGTTCAGAAAATCACTAAATTAGAGAAGTAAGTCAGTTCCTATTGGTGGGTATTAGAAGGATAAGGTCCTTAGATTTTTTAGCCCACCATCTAATAGATGGTGGGTTATTCAAATCGCCCTGCGTCCGTGGTCCGTCTGGTGGGTATTAGAAGGATAAGGTCCTTAGATTTTTTAGCCCACCATCTAATAGATGGTGGGTTATTCAAATCGCCCTGCGTCCGTGGTCCGTCTGTCTAGGTGTCTGTCCGTCCGTAAACAATTCTTATTACCGCTATTTCTGGAAAAGTACTGGATGGATCTTTCTCAAATTTCATATGCAGGTTCCCCTTGGTCCCTAGTTGTGCATTGTACCTTTTTTGGACTGATTCGAATTCAAGATGGCCGACAGGCAGCCATCTTGGATTTTGGAAGTAAAAGATTGTTACTGCTATTTCTTGGAAAGTACTGGATGGATCTTTCTCAAATTTCATATGCAGTTTCCCCTTGGCCCCTAGTTGTGCATTGTACCTTTTTTGGACTGATTCAAATTCAAGATGGCAGACAGGTGGCCATCTTGGATTTTGAATGTAAAAGTTTGTTATTGCTATTTCTTGGAAAGTACTGGATGGATCTTTCTCAAATTTCATATGCATGTTCCCTTTGGTTCCAAGTTGTGCATTATACCTTTTTGGACTGATCCGAAATCAAGATGGCTGACAGGCAGCCATCTTGGTTTTTGAGAGTAAAATCTTGTTACTGCTATATCTGAGGAAGTACTGGATGGATCCTTCTGATATTTCATAGATATTGGTTTCCCTTGGTCCCTAGTTGTGCATTGTACCTTTTTTGGACTGATTTGAAATCAAGGTGGCCCACAGGCAGCCATCTTGGATGTCGACAATAATACAGCACAAGCATATTGTCCATTATCCACCTGTAACTGACTGCTATCTAATAATACTTTGGGATCTTTTTCAAATGATATTTACTAATAGGTGCTTAATAAAAATATCTTGTGCCATCATTGAGTACATTCAATGAAGACCAGTTCATGAACATTTACAACACCTGTAACAAACAAACAAAATGAAAAAAATCTTCAAGAACTGAAAACAGATCCTCAAATGGTGGGCGCCAAGATCCCTCTGGGATCTCTTGTTGAATGATGAAGATTAACCAGACTCTGCATGATGTACTGAGTAATTGTTGAGTATGTCCTTTCTCTGTCCTTTGTATCACAGAACTCCTCTTGGACGTGCCAGAGCCTGGCTGAGGCTGGCCACCATGCAGAAAACTTTAGCAGACTACTTTAAAGTACTGATGGAAAAAAAAGATGTAGTTCTGAGGTATGATGGGTGTAACAATCAAATCATGACAGCAACTTCACTGTTATGAAATATAGTCAACTAACAAATTTTCTACATAATGTCATATTTATCTGCCTCACTTTAGCTTATAAAACAACTGTAGCTTCCAAATTTATAAATAAACTTAAGTTTGATTATACTACACTGGAATTCCTTTGTATTGAATTATATCCTACTTCTGATCATACTTGACTTTCATTCTTCTCAATTGTGTATAACATACTTTAACTGTAAAAATATGTTTTTTAGCGAGTTTTATGACCCGGGGGCAATGATGATAGAGGACGAAGGTATGGTGATTGCTGGACTTTTGGTTGGACTAAATGTGATTGACTGTAATATTTGTGTAAAGGAAGAGGATCTTGATCAGCCTGTAAGTTAAAGATTTAATTGGACATGTTGCCATGGCAACTGAACTTAGTTAAAAAAAAAGAAAGAGTTTTAGACTGAGCTCTTTGAAACATGTTAGTAACAATAACCATGGAATGAAGTTATTTTTCATGGATGAAATTTTGATTTGATAATTTTTTGAAATTGGGTTTTGACTCTTTGGGTCAAAAGACCAATTGTTATCTTGTATTGTCCATCATCCATTGTCCATTGTCTAGTGTCGTCTGCTGTGTGCTGTCCATAAACTTTTCCTTTAAAACACTACTCCTGCATAGCACGTCAGTGGATTTCAACCAGATTTAGTCTGAAACATCATAAGGGGTGGAGGGGATCATATTTCATATTCAGAAATTTGATTCAACCCTTAGGGACATGGGGATAGGGCCCCAAAAAGGTAGTTAGACAATACTTTGAATCAAGCACTACTCTCCCTTAATGCTAGGATAGATTTCATTCAAATTTTGTATGTAACAAGAGTAAGGGTTGGCAAATAATTCTTAAAATACAGAAATGTGATTCGACCCCCAAGGACTTGGGGGCAGGGCTCCAAGATGGGAAATTAGCTTCAAAACATTACTCTTCCTGAAGGCTTTAATGGATTTCAACCAAATTTGGTCTGAAATATGATTGAGCGGGTGGAACCATTTCTTAAATTCAGAAAGTTGATATGACCCCTAGGGACTTAGGGGCGAGGCTCCAAATATTTTGCTTCAAAATGCTACCCTTCCTGAAGGCTTTTATGGGTTTAAACCAAATGTGGTACAAAACAGCATTGTTTGTGGAGAATTATTTTTTTCAATTTAGAAAGTTGGACGATGCTCCAAAAGGGGAAGTTAGACACTATTTTAGTTCAAAACACTACTCTATCTTAATGATCTAGTTTATTTCAACCAAATTTGGCCTGAAACATTATCAGGGAGTGGCAATGATATCAAACATGCATGAAGTGATCCTGAAATTGTCCTGACCAAATCTCATTTTTACGCTTTGATCCTAAAATGCAAAATTACTCATCTAGAACAAATAGTCTGGACTTTTGTTCATGTTTCATTCACGACAAAGAGAAAAGCATTTGGAGTTTGATATTCTTTAAAGAAAAGAAAGAGATTATTTGTTGTTACTTTCAGTCTGATCAAAACTTCAACGTGTTAACCACAGTACAAAGTTATTTTGTAACATGATGGTGCAAATGTTTTTCATGCACAAAACCTACCATTTACGAGTTTCTGATAATTTCAAGGAATGTTGAGAATTTTAATTCATCAGGTTTTTGTTGATTGATCGTTAAGGATCATGGCCCTCTCAGTTGATTTTTCCAATGGTACATTGATCTTGCCATTTTGTTACATTTCAGTATTTATAGCTCACCATCATCAGACGGTGGGATATTAAAATCACTGTGTCCATTGTCCGTCCATCTGATAGGTCTTAAACAATTTTTAGCTCTTTGTCTGTCAACTACTCATGAAGAACTGCGCAGATTTTAATCAAATTTGGTCACCAGCATTCTTGGGGGAAGGGAAACAAATTTTCTTTCAAATCTATCTTGTTCTTCATGAACTGCATGATATTTATCCAGATTAGGTCTGAAGCATGCATGGGGGAAGGGAAATTAGTTTTATATAAATTGTGGATCTTGGCCCCCTTGGGTCAGCGGGGCGTGACCCAATATCGACAATCTATCAATATCTTTAAAAGCCTAAGTCTTCTGTAGGAATACCTGGATGTTGTCCTAATTTGGCCTAATACATGCTTTGGTCAAAAAGTATCAATTTTGTATCCCTGTATAGCAGAAGTGATGGGGCCCAATAGGGGTAGTAGTCAAATTCTTCGAGATCATTCTTTTTTTGTAGGAATGCCTTGATTCTATCCCTATTTGGTGTGAGACATGCTTGGGGAAAGGGGATCAATTTTGTATGAACAGCAGTTTCTGGTCAGAGGAATTGGGCCAAATAGTAGGCATAGAGAAAGTTCTTTAAAATCTTTATTATGCTGAGAACTTTTTTATTATCAGACAACTGCATCTAACCCACTTTTGAAGTAGGGCCGCACCTGTTATAGGAAATAGATACAAGTGTTTCAAATACTTTTCCTTTAGCTAAAATAAATCAATTTCAGCAAAGTAAACCAGGTGAGTGATACAGGCTCTATGGGCCTCTTGTTATATTACATTTTCTTGAGACATGCTCGATTGATCTTTTTCAAATTTCATCTATAGAGTTCTCTTAGTCTTTGGTTGTGTATTATCAACATCGCAAACAGGTGGCCATCTTGAATTTTGATTGTAATAATTAGTTATCGCGATTCTCAAATATAATATATAGGGACCCCTTGATGTACCCTTTCAGTTTTGCAGACTGCTTGGAAAAACAAAATGGCCGATAGATTGCCATCTTCGATTTTGACAATGAAAATTTGTTATTGCTATTTCTTGGGAAATACTGGATGAATCTGTGACAAATTTCATGTATAGGTTTGTCTCTGTCCTTAGTTGTGTCTGTTGTATTTCAGTTCTGATCATAGAAATCATGTGTCAAAAATAGGCCCTTTTTTGCTTTTTATTTTATTGAAAGTTTGTCATCACTTTTTCGTGAAAAGTACTGGATAGATCTTTTTCAAATTTTATGTAGTTTTCCCTTGGTCTCTTGTTGTGCCCTTTTGATTTTTTTGAACTGAAAAAAAAACTAAATATTGTCAGGTGAACATTTTATCATTTGATATTTGAAGATTATTTTTGCTCTTGAGAGAAATTTCAAAATTTTGTTTAATTAAGAGGAAATAAGTGGAATGGAAAAAAAAGAAGGGAAAAGATTAAACTTTTAGAGAAGAAATGAAGATGAATCAATAATGGGTGTTGATACTTCTCTGGGATCTCGAGTTAAGCATATTGTTATGTACAACAATATGTGTCACTTTAGATTCGGCGTTGTTCTAGTTATTACCACACTTACACATAATGAGCAGATTTTATTGTTTCTCTGTTTACAGATGGGTGTGATAGACTTTAGTTTGTATCTTAAAGACTCACGATTACACGACCAGTCACCTGATGAAGACAGGTATAGTATAATGGAGCCTGTTTCCTCAAAATTACATTTGTTTTCTAAAACAAAACTTCAGAATTTTAATCAGTGAAATAACTTGATGGTTAAAATTTATTCAAAAATGATATAATGATTCATATATCTATGATTCTTCTTGTTTCACAAAATCTTCAGATATGATTTTTTTTTTTTTTTATTAAAAAAATGGATGACTTTGAGTGATTTTTTTTTATATGATACTAATCATCCTATTGCAGATACCATTGGAGTACTCAATAAAAATTCCTTAATCTGTTAATGTTAGAAAAAGGATAATGGCAAAATTTAATTAAGGAAACTTTGCAAGAAATGAAAGATCTACAAGTAACAATCTGCCTGTACTTGGTGGAGTTATAGAAGTTGATTAAAGATGTAACCAGTTCAGTTGATTGTCAGCCTGTTAAAAACTTAATTTCAAGTCATTGAATTATTCTTTCTTTTCAGTGCGGAGGGAAAATCCAAAATGGCAACAATTTTAGATCAGAAAAATTACCTTGAAGAATTAAACAGACATCTGAAGTAAGATAGAGTATAATTTTTAGGTCACCTGACCTGAAGGGCCATGTGAGCTTTAGAAATACCATGGTGTCCGTCGTTCGTTGTCCGTCGTCTATCAATTTTTCCTATTATTGCAACTAGTTGTGAACTGCTGAGCAGATTTAAATCAAATTTGGTCAGAAGCATCAGAATCAGGCTTGGGTGAAGGGAAGTCAGTTTTGTATAAATGATGTGTCTTGGCCCCCTTTGGCCAGAGGGGCATGGCCCAATAGGGAAATTTATCAATATCATTAAAATCTATCTTGTTCTTTAAGAATTGCAGGATATTGTACAAAACTGGTCTGAAGCATGCTTGGGTGAAACATAATCATTCTTGTATAAACCATGAGTCATGGCCCCAAGAGGGAAAATATAGTAACTTCTTTAAAATCCTTCTTCTGTAGGAATACCTGGATGTTGTCCCAATTTGGCCTAATGCATGCTTGAGTGAAAAGGTACCAATTTGTAGTAAAAATGAATCTCTGCCCGGTATAATGGGAGTGATAGGGCACAACAGGGCAAGTAGGCAAATTCTCTGAGATCATTCTTACGTAGGAATGCCTTGATTCTGTCCCAGTTTGGTGTGAGACATGCCTGGGGAAAGGGGATTTTGTATGAAGAAAGGATTCTGGCACATTGGGATTAGAGGGATGGGGTCATCTTTTGAAGGAGGGTCAAGTCTGTTACGGGGAAATAGATACAAGTGTCTTAAATTCTTTTCCCTTATCTAATATAAATCAATTTCATCAAAGTAAACCAGGTGAGAGATACAGGCCATATGGGCATCTTGTTTAGGATTAGAGTTGATTATAGAACTGGTCTGATGTGTAGGTTTGCAATGATTTAGTAGTAACTGGGAACCTAGTTGAGAAAAGTGAAAATTATAATGTTACCCATGAGTAAAATGTGGTGAAGAATACTTGCAAACAATGTTTCTAACTGATTATATCGGGGTAGAAACTGCCAGAATAATGTAGCAGTATTTTTTTTTTAATTTGGAGGATGGAATCAAACCACCAAAAAAAGATACCATAATAAAGGATTAAAGAAAACTGTAATATATTTCAAGACAATTTTTTGGCAAAACCTCTGAAATTTAATTGATAAAAAAACCCCAATGCTTAGAGAACCTCTTTATACTTTACACAGCGCTACTGTAACAAACCTACAACAGAAAATGGAGACAGCACAGACAACTAATGCCTTGATGAAAGAAGACTTGGCAATTTCTAAAAACACCATTCTAACTCTGCAGGAGGAAAACGCTGCTCTTCAGGCACAGAAGAGCTCTCTCCTCCAAGACGCACAGAAACAGATGGAGGTATATCCTGATGTATATGAAATACTCTGCCTTTATCACATACTCTGATAAACTTCACTCTGTAGTTTTCTGTAGATTTTTAACAACATCACTATTCAGTCAGAATATATATATGGTGTTATTTTAATAATTTGATCAAATAACACAAAAGAATATCTATTTTTTTTTATTTATTCTCAGCTGTTTGAATATATACCAGTCCTTATAGAAATTGAAATTTTGATAATTTATTTTAGTATTGGAAAAAAAAGAAGTGAATACCAAGATGAAAAAACTATGTGTTAAGATGCAGGATGATATAAATGTACATAATTGTACGATATCACAGGTATATATCGATCTTACAATCTTAAAAAAAAACATGATTACAATGAAAGTTTACCATGATATGAAGTAAAGTTGATAAAATCAGGTAGAAAAAGGATTAGTTTGTAGGATAAACAAGGAAACAATTGATTCAATCTGTTTTTAAAAGAACATTTTAAAAATGACTTTATATATTTGAACAACTTTATTTTGAAATTGAAATTAAAACAGATTAAAATAATAATAATAAAAAGATTTAATCATTTAGAGATCTTTGAAATGCTGGTTGTAAATGTAACTATACATGGAAACTATTTCTATTGTGATTTTAATAATTAAGAAATTAAATATATTGTTTCTGAAAAGAAACATGTTCTTTGAGAAACTTTTGAACGATGAAACAAATCTACAAACATTGGCATAAAAATCTGATGGCTTGATTGTGATTCAAACTCAGGACCTTTTTGTTGTCAACCCACTGGACATTTGTAGTTACCTGACCTTTTGCTGTGTTAAGTTTAAAAAAATATTGAAGGGGAGATAAGTCATGTCTGAGAACATTTTAATGGGATTTGCAAGCATTTTGCTTGTAGTTGGACAATTTCATCAAAATATTATTTTTTCTGTTTATTTGGCATTATTATTACTATGCTAAGATCATTCCACATTTATAAATAAAGAACGCTCTTAATTTTTTTTACTGATGTATGGTAGATAGGGACTGGACTCCCACAAACACACAAAACAAAAGCATGAGTTTGGTACAGTAAGGATAATAAAATTACATATTAGTTGAACACTTTCCATTGGTGTTACAGTCAGAAAAGACACTGGTAAGTCACATCTATTGTCACCAGTCAGTTGGCCCTTCATCCTTAAACTGTATTTTTGTAATCTGCTTCACGTCTTATGATTTGCACAAGATTTTTCAAACAGTACACAAAAGTTTGGTTTTGCAGAGTAGAAATGTATTACTTTATTGCCAAAGTGAAATGATATCACTTGAGCTCGTTTAAGAAACCAAAAAGATATTTTTGTCTGCTTTCACATTTGTCGTTTGCAAGTTACCATTAAATGTAAGATACCACATTTAATGCCTTTGACATTAAGTAATGTATAAATGTACCTGTGAGAGCTGTATTCTTTTTTGTTTCATAGATTTGATAGTATCTAATTTGTCAGTGAAGTATATGTATCCAATTCTTCAATGAAATATTTCTTTTCTAAAAAAGATATCATGAATCATAATGATAATTCAAATCCATGGTTGAGAGACAATTTACATACTAGCTATGGTTGAGCGACTTTTGTTTCGTCAGTTTAAATAGTGTGCACAGTATACCAAGCACTTGCTGTAGACATATAAATGTACACACATATATCTATATTCTTAGATGAATATTGTTTCAAGATTTCAGTATGATTTCCTTTTAAGATCAATAAATACATCATTCCTGTCTGTTGTTTTTATATTATTAGGTCTATAGTTTATACAGTTTTTTAGCTATTGGTGGGAAACTAAAGGCCACTGTATCCATGAAGGGACGGAAAATATAGTGATATAATTAAAGTAATCAAAATAAAAAAATTGCAATATGCAACTAAACCTGTCAATACAGAGCACTCAAGGGAGGTGGCAAAAAATGGACTTTGAATGATTAAAAAATTATTGATATAAAATTATTAATATATATTGCTTAGTTACCAAGAATTGTTTACATGTATATTGCACGAAATCATTTGTAAGGGAGATGACTCCGACAACCTTGTCTTTTCTAAAACTGTTTTACAGTTGATTTTATAGGAAACTCTTAAAATCATGTTAATGCTAATTATAGAATATAAATGATCATACAAATGTGCATTGAATAGTAATAATTACATGTACAAAGTTAAATTTTGAACAAGGTCACCTGTAATATTTTATTTGCTGAATCTGTCTCCATGCCAAAATAAGTTTTATATATATATATATTTATCATTTGTTCAGCTGATGCAGGTTTTATAGTATAAAGACACTATTTCAGTTCACATCGAAAAATGATAGATGTATTTTAGTGTAGGCTACAAGAAGATAGGAGCAGCAGGGAAATCAATGACACATCATATCAGAATTCTTAGTTTATTTCAAAATGTTATCTGTTTTATATAACAAAGGATCACATACTCTGTGGCCTCTCAGTATAAAATTTCCTAAACAAAGAGAGCCGAGAACGTGTATCCTATAATTAACAGTTGGATCTAGGCATAGTTTAGACTTTATCATACATGGTTCTTTATCATAGATATGCTGACATACAGTATTGATATGACTTTTCAGGCTAATAAACAAGACATAGAGACAGAGAGAGAAACATATCAAACGTCTCGGGCAGGACTTGATGAAATGTATGGTGACATGAAGAAAAGGTTGGATGAAGAAACACAGACCAGGCTTGTAAGTAACTATACACAGTTGTATTTTGTCATGTTTATTCATCTGTCACAAACATATTTACCTGATCTTGATGTTAAGCTGGTGATTATATGTTAGCAAACATGCATTATTATTCTTTAGGATGTGGAAAAAGAACTGGAACTCCAGATCGGTATGAAACAGGAAATGGAGATGGCTTTAAGGATTTTAGAAAAAGATATCCATGAAAAACAAGACACTATGATTTCTTTACGAAAACAGCTTGAAGAGATCAAAACAATTAACTTAGAACTCTACCAGAAATTGCAGGTAAGTCTCGGCTTTCAATGTTGTGTTCATGACAAAGATTTTTCAAGTTCTGAACTCAAAAAATTGTACTTCCTTGTGAAAAAATCTTAATCCTTACTTGCCTGAAACAAAATTAAGAAAATAAGTTATCAAATTGAAGGTAATCTGGAAAAAAAATCACTGGACAAGCAGTTTGGATATAACTGTACTCGATCAATTAGATCAAACTGTAATCAAATGGTGTTATGGCTGGCATAACTCTCTATCACTGGACAAGGTTGTGTTTGACAACCTGTTGCATCAAATATTTGGTTCAATTATAAGATTCAGCCTTCAATTACATCATTTGTTTACTGTTTTATATATTGTATTGAACTTCTCTTTAACTCCATCAATTGAGTGTCAGACTAGTAAGCCCGGGATCCCGGGTTGGATTCCTTGCAGAGGCATTGAAATTAATAATGACCTTTGTTACATGTACTTAAATTTCATTTATATTAAGTGAAGTTAAAGGGACAATTTAGATTAGAAATAACACAACTAATAGACGATATTACCCTATATGATAGTTTCTATGGTTGATAATACAATAACTTACAGCTATTGTTCACTGCCATCATTCTGAATTAGATAGATTAGTTTCATCTATATGGTAACACTATAGCCCAAGGTCAAGAAGAAACAGCTATTGTTTTAAAAAATAAATATCACAGGTCAGAAATATTTGTAATATGATTTGGGTTGCGTTAGTGAAACTGGTTTAATTATTATAAAATCTGAGAATGAACAAGGTTTAACATGTAAAAGATAGAGCTTCATGTTACAGAGACAGATTAACGATCTCTTAGTGATAACTGGGTCTCCCAGTACACCCAGACTATAGGGAAATGAATGTAATCTTGTGATGACTGGGCAGTCCGATTTGTTCAGGAAACAGGGACAAGTTTATAATCTCATGGTGATGACTGGGTGACCCAGTTTGCCCAGACTAGAGGGACATGTTTATAACCTCATGGTGATGACTGGGTGACCCAGTTTGCCCAGACTAGATGGACATGTTTATAACCTCATGATGATGACTGGGTGACCCAGTATGCCAGGCTCCAGGGACATGTTTATAACCTCATGGTAATGACTGGTTGACCCAGTAAGCTGGGTTCCAGGGACATGTTTATAACCTCATGGTGATGACTGGGTGACCCAGTATGCCAGACTACAGGAACATGTTTATAACCTCTTGGTGATGACTGGGTGACCCAGTTTGCCCAGACTACATGTTTATAACTCATGGTGATGACTGGGTGACCCAGTTTGCCAGGCCCCAGAGACATGTTTATAATCTCTTGGTGATGACTGAGTGACCCAGTTTGCCCAGACTAGAGGGACATGTTTATAATCTCTTGGTGATGACTGGGTGACCCAGTTTGCCCAGACTAGAGGGACATGTTTATAACCTCATGGTGATGACTGGGTGACCCAGTATGCCACGCTCCAGGGACATGTTTAACACGTCATGGTGATGATTGGGTGACCCAGTTTGCCCAGACTAGAGGGACATGTTTATAACCTCATGGTGATGACTGGGTGACCCAGTATGCCAGGCTCCAGGGACATGTTTATAACCTCATGGTAATGACTGGTTGACCCAGTAAGCTGGGTTCCAGGGACATGTTTATAACCTCATGATGATGACTGGGTGACCCAGTATGCCACGCTCCAGGGACAACTTTATAATCTCATGGTGATGACTGGGTAACCCAGTTTGCCAGTCTGCAAGGACATGTTTATAATCTCATGGTGATGACTGGGTGACCCAGTTTGCCAGACTCCAGGGATATGTTTATAATCTCTTGGTGATGACTGGGTGACCCAGTTTGCCCAGATTAGAGGGACATGTTTATAATCTCATGGTAATGACTGGGTGACCCAGTTTGCCCAGACTAGAGGACATGTTTATAACCTCATGGTGATGACTGGGTGACCCAGTATGCCACGCTCCAGGGACATGTTTAACACGTCATGGTGATGATTGGGTGACCCAGTTTGCCAGGCTCAAGAGACATGTTTATAAGCTCGTGGTGATGACTGGGTGACCCAGTTTGCCCAGACTAGAGGGACTTGTTAATAACCTCGTGGTGATGACTTGGTGACCCAGTTTGCCTAGACTAGAGGGACATGTTTATAACCTCATGGTGATGACTGGGTGACCCAGTTTGCCCAGATTAGAGGGACATGTTTATAATCTCATGGTAATGACTGGGTGAGCCAGTTTGCCCAGACTAGAGGACATGTTTATAACCTCATGATGATGACTGGGTGACCCAGTATGCCAGTCTGCAAGGACATGTTTATAATCTCATGGTGATGACTGGGTGACCCAGTTTGCCCAAACTAGAGGGACATGTTTATAACCTCGTGGTGATGACTGGGTGACCGAGCTTCCCCAGACTAGAGGGACATGGTTATAACCTCATGGTGATGACTGGGTGACCCAGTTTCCCCAGACTAGAGAGACATGTTTATAATCTCATGGTGATGACTGGGTGACCCAGTTTGCCCAGAGTAGAGGGACATGTTTATAACCTCATGGTGATGACTGGGTGACCCAGTTTCCCCAGACTAGAAAGACATTTTTATAACCTTATGGTGATGACTGGGTGACCCAGTATGCCAGGCTCCAGGGACATGTTTATAACCTCATGGTGATGACTGGGTGACCCAGTTTGCCCAAACTAGAGGTACATGTTTATAATCTCATGATGATGACTGGGTGATCAAGTTTGCCCAAACTAGAGGTACATGTTTATAATCTCATGATGATGACTGGGTGACCCAGTTTGCCCAAACTACAGGGACATGTTTATAATCTCTTGGTGATGACTGGGTGACCCAGTTTGCCAGGCTCCAGGGACATGTTTATAATCTCATGGTGATGACTGGGTGACCCAGTATGCCAGGCTACAGGGACATGTTTATAATCTCATGGTGATGACTGGGTGACCCAGTTTCCCCAGACTAGAAAGACATGTTTATAACCTCTTGGTGATGACTGGGTGACCCAGTTTCCCCAGACTAGAAAGACATGTTTATAACCTCATGATGATGACTGGGGGACCCAGTTTGCCCAAACTAGAGGTACATGTTTATAACCTCATGGTGATGAATGGATGACCCAGTTTGCCCAAACTAGAGGGACATGTTTATAATCTCATGGTGATGACTGGGTGACCCAGTTTGCCCAGACTACAGGGACATGTTTATAACCTCATGGTGATGACTGGGTGACCCAGTATGCCAGGCTCCAGGGACATGTTTATAATCTCATGGTGATGACTGGGTGACCCAGTTTGCCAGGCTCCAGGGACATGTTTATAATCTCTTGGTGATGACTGGGTGACCCAGTTTGCCCAGATTAGAGGGACATGTTTATAATCTCATGGTAATGACTGGGTGACCCAGTTTCCCCAGACTAGAGAGACATGTTTATAATCTCATGATGATGACTGGGGTACCCAGTATGCCAGGCTCCAGGGACATGTTTATAACCTCATGATGATGACTGGGTGACCCAGTTTCCCCAGACTAGAAAAACATGTTTATAACCTCATGATGATGACTGGGGGACCCAGTATGCCAGGCTCCAGGGACATGTTTATAACCTCATGATGATGACTGGGTGACCCAGTTTGCCCAAACTAGAGGTACATGTTTATAACCTCATGGTGATGACTGGATGACCCAGTTTGCCCAGACTACAGGGACATGTTTATAACCTCATGGTGATGACTGGACGACCCAGTTTGCCAAGCTCCAGGGACATGTTTATAATCTCGTGGGGATGACTGGGTGAGCCAGTTTGCCCAGACTACAGGGACATGTTTATGATCTCGTGACGCAAATTTGACTCATCTATTAACCCAGGCTACAGTAGTATGCTAATTATTTCCCAATGAAAATTCTGTAAAGGAAATTAGCCTTGGTTACACAGCATGTTTATAATCTTTTAATAAATGATAATTTTGCTCACTCATTAAGCCAAGACTGCAGGATGAACTCAATGCCAACTTAGCTGATTCAATAAATATAGGCTACAAAATCATGCTTATAATCTCTGTTACAACTAAGATCACCCAGTATGCCAAGACACAGGCTGCAGGAACATGTTTATAAATCCCTAAATGATATGGTCACCCAGAATGCCCAGGCTCCAGAGACATAATAAAATAAAAATGACAACTGGGTCTACTATTTACCTCAGGTTATATGGACATGTTCTTAATCTCTCAATGGAAAGCTTGGTCATCCAGTTTGCCCAGAGTAAAGGGGCATGCTGATAAAGCTCTGAATGATGACATTATCACCTAGTAAGTGTAGGCTACAGGGACTTGTCTATTGGGAGATTTACAGTCTTCTAAAAGATCTCATTTAACATTGTTCTATTTCTTTGTGTAATATGAAGCCGGTTGTGTTTGATGCTTTTCAGTTTGCTCGTTGGTACAGTTGTTGTATACCTTGTTCACATTTGGGAACGTAACATTACTTACTTGGATTGACCATGATTTACATGGTGAGTGTCGTCGATGAAAGCAGAAGGCAAACAATCTTCTGGAACACCTGGTCTTATTCTCCTTGTGCCGATTTCAGTAGTCTTTTTGTAAATCTTTCTTTTGTTCATATTTTCCTGAGCTTTATCGAATTTGAGATTATTGTTTTGTTTACATGTTTGTATTTTGTTATTGTTATTATAATCGCTTAATTACAAACAGGATAACCCAGAATGCCTCATCACAGGGACATAACTATAATCGCTTAATTACAAACAGGATTACCCAGAATGCCTCATCACAGGGACATGACTATAATCGCTTAATTACAAACAGGATTACCCAGAATGCCTCATCACAGGGACATGACTATAATCGCTTAATTACAAACAGGATTACCCAGAATGACTCATCACAGGGACATAACTATAATCGCTTAATTACAAACAGGATTACCCAGAATGCCTCATCACAGGGACATGACTATAATCGCTTAATTACAAACAGGATTACCCAGAATACCTTATTATAGGGATATGTCTATCATCTCTGAATTACAGCTTGGTTACACAAAATACCTTATTATAGCGACATGACTTTCATCTCTGAATTATAACTGGGCCACCCAGAATGCCTTATTATAGGGACATGTCTATCATCTCTTAATTACAACTGGGTTACCCAGAATGCCATATTATAGGGACCTGACTATCATTCTTGGCAGAGTCATGCTAAATTTAGCATTATTTTGTATTCATTTGATAATACAATAATTTGTAAAATTTGGTTACAAAGTAAACAGCTGTTCTTGATATATTCCAAAAGTTGTCAATGGTACGTTATTTTCACAAAATGGAATTGTGATTCATATGTTGTGTTATCAATATATATCAAAAAGAATCGACCCGAACAGGCTAGAGGCAGGTTCTCCATGATTTTATTAGGTAGTCTGTCTGCCGGTTTTACCTTTTCTGTCAGGCAAAATTGGTAGACCGACTTCCTAATAAAATCTTGCAGAACCCGCCTCTAGCTTGTTGAAATTGATTCTACTTGATTTAAGCTCACACTTACCAATCAATCTCCTGCATACCCTCTGGTATCCAGGTAAGAGGCACAGGAAATTTTAATCCACCACTTATAGTAACAGCAGTGTTGGCTCGTATTCTAGATATAGCATATATCATGACAAATCTCAAAAGTAAAAAAAATTAATGTCAGAGTGTGTTTTAGAATAGTAGGTGGTCTATGACAGATCGTTTAATCAGTATTGTAGGTGTATGTTTATTTCCCCTTTATTTTTTCAAATTAGCCATATGGAAATATATTTTGCATTTTAAATACTACTGTGAAAATTACAACTTTGACAGTAATATTTAAAAAAAAAAAAAAAGCCAACAGTTTAAGCTAGATTTATCCATTTTTGGCCGGGTTGCACATAGTTCAAATCTGGGTTATAGTGTGATGAATGTTGGGCGGGCAAGCGGGCAGGAAATAAGGGTACCAGTTTTGTAGATGTGGAAGCTTGAAATTTTGTAGGATGTTTATAGATATATGTTGAAGATGTGTACCTCCTATCATGGATTCATTCCGGTCATTTTTCTGGATTTTCTAGGCTTTGGAACTTAGTTATTTTCCGCAGTTTGAAGGGGAAAAGGGGTACCAGTTTTGTAGAATCAAATCCTCCTAGAGTTTTTGATGTAGAAGCTTGAAACTTTGTAGGATGTTTATATATATAGTTCCATGGTACTCAAATCCAACATCAAGTTATGACGTCAAAATACTGTGAAGTGATTTAATTTTGCTGTGTCAAAATTTTGCACTTTTCTTTCTGGGACTTATTCGCGGGATCTAAAGTTTGCATTACACAGTTTATTTCATTGTAATAATAGCAAATACAACTGACCTATTATCACAATTTTCACGGAAGTATTAAATTCACACTTTGAAAGCAAATTGCAAATATGGCAAACTATAAGCCCCCGCCAAATAGAAACACTTTACAGTGCTAAGATAAAGAAATGAAGCTGTTAAGTTCTTAGCCCACCATCCATAGTGGGCTGATCTAATCACCATTCATCCGTGGTCCATAATCTGTTGTCCATTTCTGAAACTTTCCTTGTTATCACAGTTTTTCAGAAGCTACTACAAGAATCTTTCCGAAATTTCACATATAAATCACCTTGGGGCCCTAGATGTCCATCATCAATTTTTTGAACATCTCCGAACCCAAAATGGCTGCAACTTCTTTCTTCAAATGCCCTTCTTCTGCACCAATTCATAAAATACAACCAAACTTTCTCTCTTATAACAAATATTCTATATACTCAACAAATATAACACCCTTAACTGTCTTGTAAATACCATATAACATTGCACTCAACCGTAACCAGGCCAATTGTGGCTTTGCCCCATTTTTACATATATGTCACTTACAGTTGAACCATCCATTTATCAGTGCCCGAGTTTGAGAACTGATATGCTTATTACCATCCTACGACCTGTGTCACAACTAGTCACATATTTGAAATTGACTTAAGTAAACAATGTGATCACCATAGGAATCTGGAATTGGCCAGGTACTGAAACATACCTTTTCTTACAAGTTAACATAACAGATGACAAGAAAGTGTGAAGTCAAAGTCTTTTATTGTTGGTAGATTTAACCTTGGTAAGGGGGTAATAAATCCAACCTTTACCCAAAATAGCAACATATGTTGGCCCGGATGCATGACGGCACAGCGTTTGTGATACCAATTTGAACTTTAAATGTCTAAAGTTAGACATAACTTATTTAAGGACCTATTCCCAGTGTCATGATTTTACTGCAAATGTCAACTTTCAAACTCATAACACAGAGTTTCAAGAGATGCAAGTTGATGAAAGTTATGGAGAAGTTTTACAGTTGTCACAGAGATCTCATCGAGACAAACTCTATTTCTTTTGTGTGAAATAAAGCTGAATGTGTTTGATGCTGGTTATTTTGTATGTTAGTCCCCTTACTGTACACCTTGTTCTCATTTGAGAATATGACATTACTCACTTGGGTTATTCAAAGTTAACATGGTCGATATCGTCGATGAACCAGAAGATGCTTACACTTTCGGAACGCATGGTCTTATACACTTGTACTTTTACAGGCATCTCTGTATAATTGTTTTGGGTCGTATTTTGCCCTATGTTTATTGAATTGGAGTTTGGATTCTGTTCACATGTTGGTATTTTCTTGTTGCTGTGTATCTGAATTGTCCCCGGTTATCGTGTTTACATTCACGAAAAAGGCACATGCTATAAGCTGTAACTATATGACATCAAGAGACTTTGTTGACATGATCCTTGTTTTTGTTTTATGGTTAAGCTCGTCTCGAAAAATTCAGACTTTGACGTCCATTCGTTTGATCATTTGCAGTAAGGATCAAGTATAACACACACAGCTACAAAATGAAAAGTTACTGTATTAGGTTCTATTTCATAGTCATGTGTTCCATGGCAGCATGAAAACTGTTTGAACGGTTGTATAATCTATAATTAGGTAAAATGGATTTGAGTCTTCAAAGATAGAAAAATATCAATGTTGTCTTAAAAAATAAAAAAAAATAAAATTAAAAAATAAAAGGGTTTTGTATTTCAAGAACACACAAAAATCGTCCGTGAAATACGAAAATACGAAATACCGTGAATACAACAAACAGAATGTGCTCCATAGACATTTATCTGATCTCCTTGTTGAAAACGTTAAACTGATGGCATCCACGATTCAGCTGTATAGACGGTGTTGTTTTGAAAAAGAAACCACAAGAGTACCTGGTAAGACCCAATTTTTTTATTAATCATGTTTAGTACCAAGTGCATATAAATCATAAGGATTCTGGTTTTCTGTACAACAAATTTATTTGTTTTCAAGGTTTTGAGGTAATATATTTCAGTTTTACAGATAGGTCTTGCGTTCTTCGTTTGTGCGTATATTTTCTACAGATAGTGATATGGTGCCTGGTGATTATGCTTGTCCATACCTGGGATCTCGTGTTTTCTCCATATTTGGCCAATTTTGAAGAATAACCTTAAATGTTGTCTTAATTCAAAATATTTCGGTATTTCAATTGGGCGTGCTTTAATTTGTTTCTTTATTCAGGTCAACCATCTGTAGTTTACTGTGAGTCACTGGGCATAACAGGAAGTTCGTTCTGCTTTGTCTGAAAATGACAAAATAACGAAATAAATCACACAAAATGTTATTTCTTTCAAAAATTTCCCTAAAGAGTAAAATAACTACATTTGATGGAGGTATCCTATGTCAATGTGAAACAGATTGGCCGGCCAGACATTACTAATGACTTTGTCAAATGTAAATCAAATATTTACACATTGTTAAGATTAACATTATTAACATCAGTTACTTACTTGTAAGAGGTTGATGATATCATCGTATCCAGAGCTACCACAAGATTTAATTCGTTTTACTTCGTCCTGAATAATAATGAGAAACACAAGAATGCTAGTTTTCATTCACAAAACAATTCTGTTAAAATGATGTTCATGATAGATCTTAATTCATTAACTTGTTTTTTAATTGTTCAGATATTTCACTCGTGAGAGTTTTCCAATTTGTGAAGTTGATATTGAAGACGCATATATTTTTTAAAGATGTTGTCATCTGTTGCACAAGACTTACTTCAATTATCCAAAGAAGTAAGGCTTTTATATGAGGCCTGAAGCTGCACACTTGTGTACCAGATGATGCTATAGATGCTCTTTTGCCTGGTTGCCACCCATTACTGTAATGGAAATTTTGTCCGGTCACCACGGCCACTAGTAAACCTGCCAGCAACAATTGTGCCACTAGGATCTTTGTGTAGGACGACATTTTCTGGAAAAAAAAAAAATTGAAATGCAACACTTACTGATTAAACACAAACAGTTATTAAGGAATCATAGTGAATGAATTTATGTTGGGATTTCAAGTTTTTTGTACATGAATGAATGGAAGTACTCAATGGTTTAAAAGTATGTTCTTCAATTCTTTTTGTTACTAAAGTATAATCAGCAGGTTTCATTTACAGTTGGAAATCATTGTTGAAATTCCCCGAAATTTAAATATACATATATGGTGTCCATAAGAGAAGTTACTGTACAAGAAAAATGAGTGAACAAGTTTGTTACATTTTAATAGTGTTTTACAGGGTTTACTTGAAGAATGACAGGTCCTTGTTCATCCACTTGAAAATATTCTGATAAATTTACAAACGCCGTCTAGAATGTATGCTTATTATGAAGAATTCTAAAGTGTGTAGCTGTATAAGACTGCTGACCCTTATCGTTAGATTGTTATTGTATTCTGATAATTGCAGACACGTTTGATGACATTATAGTAATTTCTGTCCCACTCCAAGTTATTTGTTATTAGATAACATTGAACTTGATTATTACATTAGGGCTAATCAGTCTGTTATATCGTTATGGTGACTGTGAGACACTGGACAAACCTAATTGCCCGCATCATCTGCCTAGCTTACACCTGGTGCGGCATTCAGTTTTGGAGGTCAATACTCTTTGGTAAACTGTAACTAACCGATCTTATGTGTTTCTAAATATTTATTCATTTGGTTGTTTTTCTGTTTTCTTCTGTTTTGAAAAAAAAAATGCGGCCTTTGATATGTTCAGTAGCGCTGATGATTATGTTGTTATTATGAAAATCTATTTAGATTTCTAGAAGACGTTAAGGGCAACCTTTATTGAATACATGTCAGTTTTATGTATAAACTACACAATCATGCTGTCTTTTTCGTAATCATAATCAATGATGTGTAACAATACAGGTTTTGTTTATTACACATCAACTGATATAAAATTAGCATTAAATAAGAATTATGTTTTATTTAAATGTCTTATTTACAGGGTATAGCAAATGACCACAAGGTAAATGAACTATATGATAATTCTTGCACAGCCTTCACAATGGTAGGGTAAATGATACCAAATTACTTACTATTCTTGATCAGCCATTCTCATTTGCACTACAGCTTATACAATCCGTCATGCATACACTTAGATCCTCTCATGTAGACAATCAAATTGGTACTTTGTTATACATAAAGTTTATTAAACTTTCAGCTATAGAATCAGTTGTGTAACGGTTTGTTCTAACATAAAGTTTATTAAACTTTCAGCTATAGAATCAATTGTGTTACGATTTGTTCTAACATAAAGTTTATTAAACTTTCAGCTATAGAATCAATTGTGTTACGGTTTGTTCTATTGATTATCTCCAACTCTTAGTCAAATTATTTCATTTTGTTTCAAAAATGTATCAAGTGCACTGTCCTTTCCCCTTACACTTATATATCTGTACATTTGACTCGCAGACGATTTGATGAACAGGTTCTTTGGTTTCTAACCTTGCACAGTTGCATACATTGTCAGTTTCTACAATGCATTCATCTGGTTGTTTGCCAAAAGTGATCAATGGATATTCTAGGATATGACTTGATCGTTTTATATTCTGATAAAAAAAGTTTTCCCCTTTTGGAAAATCACTTTGTTTTCTTGATGTACTGAAAGCGCTCTCCATCAAAGGATGAGCTGCATTGCTGTCATGGTGATTCCGTAATCCATTGAATGCAATGCCATATTTCAGGAGTGAGACTCTCGAAACTACAGGTACCAGCGAGTAATTGTGTTTTTGTTTTGTTAAGTATCTGGCATATTACTAATTTGTCCATAGAAAATGTAATGAAAAAAATCTGATAATGTGATATGTTATCAAAATATATACAGAAGCTTGGAGAAAATGTCAACCAACATCAGATTAATCTATGTAAAATAAAGCAAAAAAAATGCACTGATGTAATATTTGTTAGCAATTCTAAATGACTACACAGTGGTATTATCCAAATACAGTAGAATGAACAAGCCCTACACTTCTCGCTAAGAATGACATCATGAAAATTAATTGTGAAATGCGGTTTTTGACTCTCAAATTATAGACATATTTCAACGAAATGATAGCATTTTCATCGCTTTGGAAAGTACTGCCAATTTTCTCCAGCATACCAGCTCCCTTCCCTATATAGGCTTCGCTGCACTTTACAGGCGGGAGAGTTTATATATAAGCCAAACTTGTTTGACAACCATTGTAAAATAGTGTTTGCTTTAAATGGTCATGAATGAAAAAAATTGTTATTTTATTACATTTTTCAATTGAAACTGAATGAAATTTAATTTGCAAAAAAAAAAAAAAAAAAAAAAGATAATCATCTATGTAAAGCTGTTACCATTATTCAAGGATTTTACTGAAGACAATAACAATAATAAACTGTAACTACAAAACTGTATCACTCTGATTATTATTCCCTGTAGGACTGATCATTGATGTAAGGATCAATGTTGAAATTATACAAAAAACATGCAATAAATAAGATTCAATCGAGACAAACAATGAATTAAACTGCATCATACAACTTTTAATTCCTTCTAGGACTAGTCACTGGTGCTAAAAGTCTAAATGTTAAACCTAGGAGGCAATTAAGAAAAATCCAGTGATCGAAAGAAAGTCAAAATCTAGATTGAAGGTGCCCTTATCTATGATAGAACATCGAGTACAAACATAGGAGATAACGTAGTAAAGAAAAATTGTCCATACAAATGCCAAAATGCAGATGAGTATTTGTAATAATGCCCTGAATGAAATTTCATAATTTTCAAATATCAGATGATTTATGTCCAGCAGAATGGTTGATGTACTCTGTACTGAAAATGATGCTGCAGTAATTTTTACTAGTATATTATGTAAGGTTGAAAAATTTCAAAGGTCATGAATATAAAACAGTAATAAAATATATGTCATTTTCAAAGATGCAGTTTTGTAATGTGTGTGATAAAGTCAATTTATAGTCAATTAGTATAGTGTTGTAATTGCTAAAATCAACAAACGATTCTTAAAGTTAAAAAGCTGATACTGTATCAGGTGAATTATTGCTTATTAGTTGTTTATTTACCGAAGTAAATACTAGTGCTTACCTTAATCAATAGAGGGTACGCTTGCTACCTGTTGTTCAATCAGCTCTCCTGTTCACTCCTACTTCAGTGAGTATGGCAGAGCATCACACACTCCTGAACATTTTATAGTGCCATTGTAATCCCAGAAGACAGGGAAGAGCACCTGCTCTGTACAGTGATGTATAGTTATGGGAAATGAACGTGCCAACTACAGAACCTTTTGGCTAGATTAAACTGGGAGTGATTTTGGCTCCTTATCCACTAAGGTAATATTATAACCTATACGATCTTACTCCCCCGTAAATGTTTATCATAATGGGTAATTGCATCTCTGTTTGTGATGGTGCTTTTTACCAATTGTAATTTTCATGGTAAGTTTAGACATTGCTGATTGTTCTGATTAGTGGGATACCGTTAGTAAATGTGAATATAGAAAGAAAGGGGTGTAGGTTTTTTTAATTTTCTTTTCTTTTTGTAAACATTCATAAACAGATAAGTTTATATGAGACATCAATTATTTTCCTTTCTTTTTTTTCCTTTTTTTGTAAAATGACAATTTCATAGAAATACAAATATATAGACACTGGCAAATATAGAAATAGTGAATGATATTGAAGAAATTCTGTAAAGCTGAAATTTGATTATTGACACTTTTTAGAATTTTCTATTATTATACATTTGCCAAATTGACTGAATTATGAGAAAAACATACATTTATTTAAATATATAACATTCAGCTGATTTTTGTGCAATTAATTTGTCATATAGATTTCCACTGTTTAGGCAATGAGTGCAATCAGCGAGTCCTTCAAGAAGGCAACTGCTGGATGATGCAGGTTAATTTACTGCTTAGCATATAATATATCCATCAGTAAAACTTTCTATTCAAAATGTGCTCTATTTCACTTGTGACCTCTTGCATAGCTCAGACAAAAAATGGACAAATCAGGTTTAAATGAAATTGCTTATCTCGAGGAAGTTGAGGGACAAGGCCAAACACCCATATAAGAGAAAGTATTTGAGCATTTGAATGTGTAATAATTTTGTGAGTGTGTAAATATAAGCATTATATCTCCAAATTAGGAAATCCCTCTGAATATGAATGCGAACAAAATATGTCCCTGTTCTAATTGCAAATAAATCCATCCAAAGTCATGTAGGCTGTATTGAGCACTTGTTCTTAAGCTTTGGTGTGAACAGAGTGAGGTTTTCTAACTCACCTGTCCAGCTTATGACAAGTCTCTATATTTATTGATTAACAAACATGAGCCTGCACCCATTTTGCATTACTAGTGGTAATCTTTTTTCTGAAAATCACTGAATGTTCTCAATTTTTAAACTTTTTCCTCATAAATATTGATACATATTTGGTATGTTGTCCCTGAACGATATATAGTAATATAATACATCTTAATACACAACATACAGTATAAATAATTAATATTTGATTATTCAGAGTAACTTTTAGTATTTCAATACTTTGATATAGATGGCATCAGTATCAAGTTGACAATGATAACTAACGTTTAGTTCTTTTACTGACATGGTACTATTCAGAGCAAAGTCTTAAAATAAAATTTCTCTCTTTTGCAGTTCTAGAGATATGCTTTAGAATGGGTTATCACAAGTGAAATTCGCTTTTCAGTGTGAATTTACAGGTGTAGTAATTACTTTACAGAACCTAATAATGATAAGAAGACTACATTGAAACATTAGTACTATAAGTACATAAGGTGATAAGTTACAGCCGCTCTTGAGAAATTGTTTTTTTTTTGCATACCAACCAGTAAGAAATTTATCAGTGACATTCAGTTGCTACACTGTAACTTTCACCAGAAGAATAACCAGTGTGAAGGGTAGAAGCACTGT